TGGTTTACACAAGTTGTTAAAATCATTTTGTTTTGGCAAGTATGAACGACGACTTTTTTCCGCTCGTCTGCAATGGAGGGAAAAAAAAGGAAAATAGGTTGTTATAAATTCGCCAAGTAAAATTCGCTATTCTTCTATTCCGAGTAAAATTCGCAATTCGCTATTCTTGGCGAAAACTGAAAAAAAAATACGCCAAGATAAATTTGTGAATTTCGTAAATTTCGCTCCAAATTTTACAAAATTTATTATTTAGGCGTAATTTGAGTCGTAGACTCGAAATATGGAAAAAAATTGTCATGTAATTTCAGAAAAAGTCCGATTTTGTGTCAAAATACCTATATTAGAACAATGCTATATATAAATCTAATATATATTCTAAGTCGCGCTTTCGAGACTCAAACGCGCAGAAATTGAAATTGAGAAAAATGCAATTTGAATTTCGTCAATGGCCCTGCAGAACTTTTCATATTGAACTGCCCCCCTTTTTTTTTGTGCAGCGTACAGTTACCAATTTAAAGAAAAATTTTGTGTTTTTTCTTGACGGATTTTCTTTGGATGTTTTAATCCACCCATTAAAAAATCATATCATCCAGGATATTTTGACTGTAATCTGACAGTAAATTTTCTTGTCTTTTAAAAAATCTTAGATTTTTACGCATTTTTGATCACAGAAAGCTTCTCTCCCCTGACTTTTCTTATTAACACTGTAAAAGTAGAGTAGTCTTTTTTTTTTTTTTTTTCTTTTACCTCATTAGCTACTTACTGCATCACTCGTCCTTCATATCAGTTTGGATACTACAAGCGTTTTTAAACTTCATTAGCTACTGCTTCACTTGTCCTTCGTATCTGTTGAATACTACAAGCTATAATTAAACTTTTGTATTTATTCATTGTTAATTTAAAATTTTCCTTTCCCATAAATTAAGCTAATCTGAAACCATTTTCTTTTAGCACAGCTGTACCAATTGAATTCTTTGCTCTTAACACCGTGGAACTATTAGGAAATTTAATTTCTATCGCACTGTGAATATTGCATCACAAAATCTACCCTTTCCCTCAGTGTTTCATGAATCATCACTATGTTTCAGTTCTTCATTATTTTCCAATATCATTAATAAATAATTTGGTGCAATACTTTTTTCAACATTTTTTACTCAGTTTTTGGCTGTTAAATCAATTATTTAATTTTTTTTTTACTTAATGTTTACATTTAAATAGGGCCATTTTACATCAGGTGCTTGTGATTAAATAAAGCATCACATTTAATGAGTGTTCTCAATTTAACTTGAACAGCAGAGGAGGATGGGATTTTTTGCAGAGCCATTAGCCATTCATTGAGATGATTTTAAATTGTTGGCTGAAAAAAGGAGAATATACGTTAATTTTTAGAATAACATGTCAATTTGGGAGGGAATCAGAGGCAACAATTGTTTTCCATAATCTTCATTTAGGGTTTCTGTCAAGAATAGCAGTATTCTTAGAAACTGAAAATTTTTCAAAAAATAGTTTAGAGTAGCACTGGGAACTTCTAGCACTAAAAATAAACAAACAAATAAATAATTAAAATAAAATGAAAATTTAAGAAAAGAAATCTGAAAATTTTCAGATTTTATATTATGCCCAAAAGTTTTTTTTTTTTTTTTTTTTTTTTTTTTTTTTTAAAGGGCTTTGTCCCTAAAGGACTATTGTTTTCGTTTTGTGATTTTGCGTTGAAAACTTTAAAAGGTTGTATCACTTTTCAAATCATTCTCACCAAATACTATTGCCCTGTCTTATATTTGAAGAAATTAAACAATGAAGAAACTGCATAAATGTATGTATGTTTCTTGCATTGTGGTAAAACAATGGTACCTAGAGCCATCCAATTTTGAATGACGTAATCTTATAGCGAATATGGCCATCTGAAATCCCAAATTTGAAATTTGGAATTTGTTTTATTATCGATTTCATACTTTATAAAACTTTAACAATTTTTTTATTAAGAAACTCAACGATTTCAAAGCTAGCAATGGCAACACTGTATGGGGAGATCCCTTTCATCTCCAGCGCACGGAACTGTGTATCGGAAATTCTAAAGATATGCTCAATTTAAAATTTTTTTGCGACATTGCTATTGAACTGAATTTTATGGTTTAAGTGCAAAGAACATGATATTTAATAAACAAAGGTAACACACAAAACGTTAAAAAAACGCCCCTTTTGGACATCTGGAGAATCACGATTCTTAATTTGCTTCGACACTAAATAAAATACCTTGTTATTTGAAGAAACAATCATTTTAGCATACATTTGTACGATCACTAATTTGGCTCCGTTCAAGCGTATCTGCTTGGCACACATCTCAAACCAAAACATTCCACACAGATACATCGTTGATCAGATGCCAACCTTGCGAATCAGTATTTATTATACTTTCTTTCATCACCGCTTGTTTATCAAAACATGACAACTTGAGTAAGGACTCGTGTAGCGATGCCTAACCAATTTTTTTATGTTAGTAATTGAATAATAAAGTCGATGATACTCATAGACCCAAAGATTACATTTAGGGCTGTTTGAATTAAGAATAACTGATTTGTTATTTGCATAAACCCAGAACCAGCGGCAGGGCTCGTATGGCCGCACCAAGTCGCAGAATTTAGGACCCACAGTGACTGCATCGGGCGGTAAGATACCTAGCACCGGCCCTCAATAAGGCTTAAGTAAATGTAGGAATTTATTTATTCAGAACTCTGATAAGCCTTTAGCATGGGCAAGAAATAGACATAAGTATAATAAATAACTAAGCTAATACAATTCGGGCTTAATTGTCTCAGTGCACGATAGAAGCAAGATAAAATTTAACGGAACAACTTGTAGTTAGTAGCCAAACTTTTATGATGCATAGCCAAATATGTATAGTGAAACATAGCTAAATTTGATGATGATAGTCACTAATTTTGAAGGTTTCGGATATCGCAAAACAAAAGTGAAATTTTCCAGTTAATGGATTTTGTAAAGAAATGTGGAGAAGCAGTAATAAATGAAGATGACTTAAGGAAGTTTTTCATTATGATGACAATGCTTCTCAATCATCAATGAATTAATGAACGGCAAAATCTGTAGTATGGTTCTAGATCCAGAAAATACCACTACGGATAGTGAAGAAAGTGACAGAGAAGTTACTGAAAACGAAAAAATTTTGATTGACAAGTTAGTCGGAATTCTCGACACAGCAGTTACAGGACTTCAACAATGTAAGTAAACAAGAGATGTCTGTCTACAGAATTAAAGAGAAAGTATTAGCAGAAAAAAAGGAGCAATTTAAACAACTTACGTTGAAAGAAATGTTTAATAAGGTAAACAAATAAATGTTAAGCTTTTTTTTTCCTGTAAATTTTGATATACTCATAAATACTTCATTATTTCATAAATCACAATTTCATGTTTTTAATTTTATAATTTCTATATGCCATCTTACTAGATTTAAACTGATCATCTAATATCCGGAAAAATCCCAAATACGGAATCGCCAAAGTCCCGATGAGTCCAGATGTTGGACTAAGAAATATAAAGATACCTGGTGCATGATATATCCATGCTTGAAGATGCACACTATGTTAATGTTAATCAAACTCTTTGAAATCATTGAGTCTATTAATCAAAAATCCATTAAAGTTTTACAAAATATGAAATAGGTGTTATAATAAGTTATATAAGTATTATAACATGGGTACCACAATAACCCAATGATACATATGAATATGAGATGAGATGTGTGACCTAGGGGAAGAAAAATATAATTAAGAACTTATCCAGAATCAGGAACCAGACGCTGAATGACGAGAACTAAACAATCACATGTGAATTATTTTATTCTTATTTTTAAGCATAACTGTTTACTTGAATAAATATTAATGAAATATAAATTAATAATATTAATGAAATGTAAAACTTGGACAGACTAATAAAATTTCACACGCTGAATAACACACATAATTTTTTGCCAGATATACGATAATATGGTTCTATATGTGATGTTACGAATATTTTTTGCTGCCACATCGGAAGATGTTAATCATAGTCCATCCATTCAAATTAAAAGTTCTGAGAAAATTCCAAAATTTCGCATGCCATTCCCAGGCAGCAGTCGAGGAAAAAATCATGTATCTACTTGGCAGCAGGGAAGGAACAGGCCGAAACCTGTCTTGCACCTCCAAACTCCAGATGCATAAGAGGGAGAGAAACCAGTTGTGGAGTCCCTTTAAGAGTTGTCTTCATACGATTACAATTAACAAAACAATGCATAAATATAAAGTGGAGACTTGGCTACACAATAAATAATAAAACAAATTCCAAATTCGGGCTTCCAGATGCTCGTATTCGAGTGGAGGACTACATTACTCAAAATTTAATGTCTCTAGGCACTGGTCCCCCACCCCCGGCGTGAGAAACATACATACATTCATGCAGATTCTTCATTGTTTAATTTCTTTAAATATAATGCAGGGCTAAAATCAGTGGAGTAATGAACATAACTGGTGCCCAGGGCAAAATACCTTTTTGGCAGATCCCCCCCCCCAAAAAAAAGGTGACATGATGAAAATCTTATTTGGAGACCATTTGACGCCCCTCTGCGAACGCCGTTTGGAGCATCATACACCCCCTTGCCCCCCTCGCTACGCCACTGGCTGTAATAGAATTTGAAAAGTGTATAATGAACCAACGCAAAATGCCAAAATGAAATTAATAGCCCTTCTGTGCTAACACCATTTGAGCTTTTTTTAAAAAAAACTTCAGTATTGCAGTTTTTAAGAAATTTAATATTTGTGGTAAGGATTAAAATAATGTGAAGTTGTGTATCAGTTTCAAATTCTCCAGAGAAAGTCGCTATATCCGTAGTACTTCATTATATGAAAGATCATTTTCTATCTTGGTTTGAACTGTAATTTTATTTCTTTCTGTATAAGCCATGGATTTAAATTTATGTGGGAAACTTAATTTTTATTTTATTTATATAGATGATGGTGGTTTTGGTAAAAGCCGTTTTGATCAATCTGCTGGTGGTGGTGGTTTTCTGAATACATCTTCTGCAACTTCCCCAGGTGCTGGTGAAAAACGAAAAGTTAGTAAATGTACTTTGTGTTCTTTTATTAGCATAGTTGTCCAACTGAGAATATATTTTTTGCTAGTCAGATCTATTAACATTTTCATTCATATAATATTTAATGTGTAGCTGTTGCTATCTATGATACCTCTCTTCATTAAAATTGAATACATATGGTATAATCCTTGTGTGATTAAATTCTTCAGAAGTTTTAATCTTAAATTCTGTATCATTTGATATAATATTTGATACCTATATCATTTAATGTTCATAAAAATTTTATGTATTTCATTGTTAAAGCAGCCACTAAAAATTCGTTGCCGAAATTTTCAAACTTATATCCCAGTTTCTAATGTGCAAATGTCACCAAAAGCTTTTGTGATGGCTGCTTTATTAAGAGAATATCAAATTTTATTCAATTACTATTTAAAGTTTTTTTTAAATATAATTATTGATTTGTTTTATTATTCTCTTCTACAGGGTGAAAGATTGACAAATGTAGTGCCTTGCACAATAGCTCAGGTACTACAAATGCAAGAAGCTGATGAGAATCTAAAAGTTGGAAGTCTTTCAGCTAAAATTGTAAGATATGATTTGCATTATTTTGTATCATTGTAAATGAAAAAATAATATAGTAAATGTTTCTAAAATAACATTTTTCTATAAGTGTAAGGTCTCTTTCTCTCTCTTTTTTGTACAAAGTAAAGGAAGTATTGTAATCGTGAAAAATTTTGGATATCATAATTTCAATGAAAATGTCCTTTTCAATTGCTCTTGAAACCATTTAAACAATGCTTTTGCATGACATCTGTACATACAGGTTTTTGCTAAAAAGGATTGATAAATGCATTCAGAAGAGATTTTTGTTTTTGACCACTCAACGTATGTATATGTACGTATGTATCTCGCATAACTCAAAAACGAACAGCTGTTCAATGTTGAAATTGTGTGTGTGGGACTGCTAATGCATGTTGTAGTGTACTTTCCTTTTTGATTGCAATTGGCTGCACCAATCGTATGTAAATATATACACTGAAGTGCCACTGAATTAAGGATAGAGATGGCTATGCAAATTTTGTAGCACTGCTCTGCATATATGCTCATGTGTGGGCATTATGATAACTGGATATGTAGCTGGTTCTATGGTTGTTCTTAATAAGTTGTTTCAATCGGTAGAATGGATAAAACTTCTGATTTAGATACTTTCGATCACGGATAGATAGTAGGCGCCTGATTCATGGGTCATTCAGTTTCCGAAATCGTGTGCTGGCTAGGGTTTCAAGGTCAGTAGTGTTCAAGGGTATATTGATATTACACGGATGTTGGAGGGAAAACTAGCGATTGAGCAAATTGCAAAGGGTACACTTGAATGAGCGTGGTGTGAGACGGCTCAGCCACTTTGTGTATAGCCAGCAAAGCCAAACATTAACTCAAATTAACACCCAGCTGAATCAGGGCACCAGTAGTATAGTCCGTAAATGGGATTGTGCAATACTCACTTCATCATATGGGCTTCAGGAGCCGTAGACCAAAGAGAGTACCATTGCTCAATGAATGCCATTGGGTTGCACGTCTTGCCTTGGAAAGAGAACACAGAGAATGGACTCTAGAGTACTGGAAATGAATAGTATAAAGTGATAAGTCTCAATTCAGACTACTTAACACCTACAGGAAGCTGAGAATATGGCTTCAGGCTCATGAAGAAGTGAATCCTGCATGCCAGGTTAGAACTGTACAAGGCTATGGCAACTCAAACATTGTCTGGGGTGTTTTTTTCTTGGCAGTGTGTGGGATCTTTGGTACTTGTACTAACCTTCCTCAGTATGATTCAATACGTAGAGTTGCTTGGCGATCATCTCCACCTATTTATGTTGTTTTGTCATTCACATGGAAATGGAGTATTCTAGCAAGATAACTGCACCTGTTACAGGTTGTGGTTCGCTACTGCCTAGCTGGACGAGCATTTCTCTGACTTCTCTGTCATGAATTGCTATGCTACCTAGATGCCCTGACTTAAATCCTATTGAGCACCTTTTGGATGGTTTGGAGAAAGGTGTGAAACCACATCACACAACACTAGCAACACTTCTTAAATTATAGATAATTCTATCCGATGTTTGGCAAGCCATTCCTGTAGAATGCTTTCGCAAACTTACTGTATCTATGTTCATCATGTGGCTGCCATTATCAAGGCCAGAGGATGCCCAAATCATTATTGACTTGCTATCCCTAATTCAGTGGCACTTCAGTGTATATATCCCACTCTGTTACCTGGCTTGGTGAATATAGTTTTTTTATTTTTATTTGTTGAAAAATAAAAATTGTTATTTTTATTGGTAAATTATGCCTTTTTTGCTTTAAAAGTGATTGAATTATGTAGTTTTTAATGTTCTGTTTAAAATTTTTATGCCTTTAGTTAATCCTTATGCAATTGTTGTAGAATTATCAACAATTTAAAACTTTAAGTTGCGAGTTAAGCCTATGGGACCGCTATTTGTTTACGTTTGAAACTCTGTAGAATAATGAATTAAGTAAGTTTCTGCACCTTCAGTGTCTTTTTGCAGAGTAGGACCAAAAGTAAACTTTCAGTTTTGTGCACCAAAATATCTGCCTTCTTGCTTGCTGACCAAATTGCTTGTTTTTGTGTAGAAACTCTAATTTTAATGGTAAAAATTGTTTTAACTGGATTTGCTGTTATATGCTTTTCCATATTTTACAGTTTTTAATGAAAATATTTTAAAGTTTTATGTAATTTTGTCTTACCACGAAGTGAAAACTGAATTAAATGAATGAGAAATGTATCTTAAAAGAAATCTGAGGAATAAGTTTAAATGAAATACAGCAAAAAATGCGTATAATTTTATAGTCCATACAAGTCAATTTATTTTTTAATCATAAATTTTGCCTCAAATTTTACTTTGCAATTCAGTTAAAAGAGAATGTAAGAATGTGTTGGAGTTATATAGTATTAAAAGTAGATTAAGAAAAAGAATATTAATGATTTAAGAATTATAGTGAATATGTATTTTAGCTTTTTAATTGAAACTGGTAAATAAAATGACATAACAGTTTCTTGATGTATGAAAATATTCATGTGAAACTTACTGTCAAAGACAAATTTGCGTATCAAAGATTCAAACTGAGATTTATGCAAATGAAGTAGCATACATTATCTCGCCAAACATCAGGTAGTTACTTTTAGTTGTCAATTAATTGTTTTTATTTTAATTGCGTTTTGCATGTCAGATATACATGTTTTTAATTCACTTCATTGAGAAGCAGTTGAACACACATTCATTGACAAGTTAAGTCTCTGAAGTTGAACAGACACAAGCTTAATCTGCATGGAATTTGCGCATTCAGCCAGGAATGGTGTGAAGCTAGTACAGAGGTTTAATGAATTTTTTTATATGTCAAGGGAATCTGGCCAATGCCTTCAAAGATATGGCAATAGTATAGGTTTAGTAACTTTCCATTTGTTAAAAATTTTGAATAAAATATCAAAAAACAAGAACTCCTGATAAAATTCTACAGCTGTTAATTAAAAATTTAATGGTAAAAGTCATAATTATTCCTCCTACTTTCTCTCTGCCCCTTTTTACTTCCTTGTACGAAGTAAAAAGGAAGTATTGTAATCGCGAAAAACTCCGGCTATCGTATTTAAACGAAAATATCGATTTTGTTTGCTATCCAATGCAATTTAATGATGTTTTTTCATGACATCCACAAGTAAGGACAGAATAAAAGACTCTTTTCCTCCAAAAAAATTATAAAACTGCTTTGAAATAAATTCTGAAGAGAATTTTTCGTGGCGTCTGTACGAACGTACGTACGTATGTACGTATCTCGCATAACTGCAAAACGAGTAGCCTCAGAATGTTGAAATTTTGTATATAAATACGACTGCTATAACATGTACATGTGCACTTCCTATTTTGGTTGCAATTGGCCACACCAAACATATATTAAATATATGTATATGATGATAACCAAGTACCACCAAAATTTATTAATTTATATATTAAAAAGGCAGGCCTTAACTTTATAATTTTTTGGCTCTTTTGGATATGCATAGACTCCAACTACTACAGATTCCCCGTAGTTTCTACGGAAATTCATGAAAACTACGAGCTACGAAAATCTGGCAAAACTACGATTTTACAGAACAAGAGAGAAACCAGTACGCAACGGAACCAATAATTCATCTATGATTGGCTGATCTCGTGTTATCATATATCACGTGTAGTTGCGTTCCTAGTTTTGAAGAATTAGCCAATCGTAGATCAGTAACTCTCAACCGTTAACTATCAATAGTTCCAAATTGTTGTCCCATTCCCACTGATCGTGTTTTCCTGCATTCCTGCATTGCGTAGTTTACGGCGAGCTAGCGTGTGTCTTGTGAACTGTGAATCAGGTGAAAGATTTAATCATAATGCTGCCTCGAACGAAGAAGCCAAAATTATCAAACAAAGTTTAAAGATTCATATTCTTCAGAACCATGCATTAAAGCGTCCGAAATTTCTGTGAATCACGCACACTGCAGTGTATGCAACAAGACTTCTCATGTCTGGTGGAAAGATGACTGTAAACGGCATGTGTTTCTCAAAATATAGAACTTGGCACCGTAAAATCTAAAGAATAACAATTTCTTAATAAAAGAGGTGAAACAGATCCTATAAAACCGAATGCTATTTTGTTCGTTTTTAATTGAACATAATCTACCGCTTCTGTTTCGGATCATTCCAAAGAGCTTTCAAAAGCAATGTTTCCGGATTCTGCCATAGCAAAAAAATTTGCTGCGGTCATACCAAAACTGCTGCTGCTATTGTAAAACGCTTGAGAAAATACTGGGCTGATAGATAAATCGTGTGCAGTCATCATTTCTCTAAGTACTGATGGAAGTAATGATACAATGATAAAAACGTACCCATTGGTTAAACATACTACAGTAAGAAAAGGGAGTGATAATTACTTCATTGATTTCTATTTTAGAATGCACGAATAAACAGGAGAAGGTATTTTTAATTGTATAAAGAAAACTTTAAAACAAAGGTTTAGAATGGAAAAATTGCTTATCATTTTCTTCAGATAATGCTAGTATATGATTGGAAAGTTTAAGGTGTAGCATCAGTTATCAAATGCTCAACCAAGGATAATCACCCAAGGTTGTCCGTGCCCCCTTGCATAAGCTGCAAAAACAAGCTATTGAAAAATTATTGGCTCAGAATTGAAATGTGATAATAGATATATTTTTACTTGGGAAAAGTCGAAATGGAAGCATAGCTTCAAAGTTGCTCAAATTTTGGGACAATGCAAAATCTCATAAAATTTTAATATTGTAGTCGAGATGGTGTCACCGACCATCTCGTACTGATTTTACATCAACGACCACCAAATTGTATTGTTATTTTGAAAAAGCTTTGCCTTTGTTATAACAGTAAATATTATTTGCAACAACACTCCTTATATACAAAATGAGAAGAACTTTTTGAACTTTAATGAATTATTGTTAGATTCATAAAACCATCAGTAATTTCTAAGGAAAGTGAAAATTTTACTCTAACATCTATTCCATTTCAGAAGTAAAGAAAATGAAAATTTAGTGATTGGTGCGGAAAAAAAGAATATATTTAAAAAATGCCAAGTTTAAATGAAAGGGAAGTGAAATCATTTTTCAAGTCTCTGCGAGCTTTTTTAACTGCATGCTCATAGATATAATAGAAAAATTTCCACTAAGTAATCCATTTCTAAAACATGCTGAAGTTGCTGACATCAACTTGTGAACTGAAGTTTAATTTTCATCTGTTCTTGATAAATATTTTTCCATCCATTATTGATGAAAAATATCTTAATCAAGTGTAAATTGAATTTTCCATGTATCAAGTAGAGATTTGAAAGAAAATTGTAGATTTGCGTATTGATATAGCATGGGAAGAATTGCCAAATTAAAAATATGAATGTACAGTCAAAAGTCGTTTTCATACACCATAATCCGGAATGATCTATAATCCGGACCTCAAGCTACAAACTTGCTGCGCATGCGTCGTTTGACGCTGCGCGTAAGACCTTTACCGCTAAATTGCGCGTGCGCAAATACGGTTACGAATGCGCGTTTATGTATAAAGGACGGGAAGTAAGCTAAATTATCTAATTATCTATTTCAGTAATTGCAGATTCGTTGTTCCTTATCTTTCGAATTGGATCCGGATTATTATTTTTTGCAGACTGTTAGAGCAATTTTATAAAGAGCTAAACTTTCGATTTTGTCAAATAGAATTCCGATATATATTACAATATGTATAGGATCTACAAAGCGAAAGGATCTTTCGGAGTCATAAACAAAAAGTGGCATTGCTGCAAAAAAGGATAAAGGCCGATATTGTGGAACCAAACTTTAACGCGGGTGTATTAAACTTAACGTTGTTTATCTAAACTTGTTTATCTTGACCGCGGCGGCAGCGTGCAATAAGGCGCGAGCTTAACGGCAGATGTTTTATTTATTGGGCTGAGAATGGCTACGCAATGAGATTTCTCGATGTACTCATCTTGATAGATGGAAGCAAATGCCTCGTCATGATAATGCGCTTCGATAGCGAAAAAGTGACAGAGGTTATGAAACGAAAAAATTCGATGAACTTAGTCGTATCTCGCACAGAATTATAGGACGTGACGCGGAACTTGTAACGAACAAGAATTATGTCTGTTATAGAATAAAGAATGTATTATCACATAAAAACAATCAACTTAAAAAAACGTAATTAAGAATGTTAATAAGTAAACAAATAAAATTATTAGCTTTTTTTTTGTAAATTGATACCCTTTAGATCATAATTGTTCTTATTTCGTAAATTACGTTTTATATTTTAATTTATATTTCGCTCCATTTTACAGATTAAACTGCTGATCTTATCGAAAATCGATAATCCGGAATCGCCGAAGTCCCGACGGTCGGATTAACGCCCTTGACTGTATGAAATACAAATATTGCCTCTAAGCTTGCGTCTAATATACTCATTCAAATGCAGCTTGCGAAGATTTTTCTATTTAAAAAAACAATCGACGGATTTGACCAAATGAGTCTTAAAACTCTTGAGCAGTTTTGATGAAAAATAATATGCAGCAAATGAAGAACTGGTTATAAAAAAACATTCTCAATCAGAACTAAGCGTTGCTAAGCATGCTACATATAATCTTGCATTCAGAAATTGCGTATTTGTTAATACTTATAGATCATCTTGGTATTAATTTATTTCCCGAAAATTATCCAGAAAGATATGTTTATAGCTTCTGATTTTTTCACGATAGAGTGATTGAGTACTTTTTTGCTGCTTGAGGATTAAAAAAAATTTCTATAAATGTGCAATTTTAAATTATATTTTTATTATCAGTTTATATGTATTGGATTTTATGTAATAATTGATTACAATTATTATTAATTTAAAATTAAGATGTTAATACAACATACGCACGCGCACATTTCAAAGTTGTAAAATGGCGTTCCGGTTGCTACCGACAGGTTTGCTGAAGGTTGAGTCTATGGATATATAAATTACCTAAACCTGGCTGGAGGGTAATTAAGGTATAAAAGAGTAGAGAATTATTGTAACTTTTTGTAAATTTGTAAATATGTTATTTTAATCAATACTGGATTCTTCCTTTCTAATAAGGGCCAACTCTTTTCAAAGTCTCAATTATAGCCGAATTGAGTGAAATTTAATTCCTTCTTCTAATTTTCCATTTACATATTAGTAAGTTTTGATATACCAATTGAAATCAGTATTAACTTTATATTTCTTTCATTAAAATAAGTTTAATTAACTTCCTAAATAATTTTGAGAAATTTCTGGAATTTTTAGAGTTTTTTAAGGATCTTTTCAAATTTTTGGAAATTTTACTTTAAACTTTAATATTAAAAACTTTCCGTTTCTATTACTTTAATTTGCAATTTTCACACAAAATTTCAACAGAACACACATTTCCACATGACAACATTTAATTTTATCCATACCACTTTTTATTCAAGCAAACTGACATCTCTTGATTGGCTCATTCTTAACTCCCGAAAAAATTGTATTACACCTTAGATTTTTTTTTAATATTAAGTTACAAAAAAAATTTCCTATAACAAAGATAGCATTGACACTCAACTTTACCTACATAAGCGCCATCTTTCAAAACTTTGAACCCCAACACTCATCTAGTAGGTAAGTTAAATAAAACTTACTATTTACTTGCTTTAAGTATTTTTAAACTAGGTTTGATGTAGTATCTAAGTATTTCTAATATGAATTTATTTTTAAATATATATTGTTTTTTAAAATTGTGAATTATCTTTTTTGTTCTTATTGTTTATATGGATTATGTCTAGTTTTTTTAGTTTCTTTTATTGAGAGCATATTCAGTAGGGAGGTTTCTGAGACAAGGGTTTCTAAAATCTTGTTTCTATATTATTTTATTATTTATTTTTTATAAAAATTATTTTAAAAAAATTTATTAAAATAAGTTTATTCTTGATTTAGGCTTTTCTCAAAGATTCATAGTATTTCCCTTTTGAACTTTAATTCTAATGTAATTCTAAGGCACCCTTATGGAATTCTTGGTTTGACTTCACCTTGCAGCTGAATACGAAACAACGAATTAAGTGGAGAGTTGGTTGGAGGCACTTCCTCTTTTATGCATTTAATCTATGCATAGTTGTCTCCTGCTACTCAACGTCTCAATAAGCATTTTTTTTAAAATGTAATTTAATTTTAATTATTAATTGTAATTTATTTCATGGATTGTTTTGCACTTATTTGCTATGCTTCTGAATTTAATGATATTTATTAGTTCGGTAACTCTTTTATAGTTGCATTTTTTTTTTTTAAATTATTTGGCTTTTTTCCTTTTTTAGATTAAATTGCTTTTAACCTTTTTTCGTTTATACGTATTTGTTAAAAATTAATTTAAATTTGTTTAAATGTATATATATATATTTATCCACTCTGTTACTCGGCTCAGTGATCTCAGTTTCTTTATTCTTATATGTTTGTAAATTGTGCATTTTTTGTTTTGTAAATTGTGCACCGTATCTATGGAGAAGTAAACAATTTGTTGTTTTGTTAACAATGAATTTTTTTCAAGTGTTTTTACAAATGTCTGTAGTTACCATAATTATTTAAATTTATTCATAGAAGACTATACTGATCAATGGCTCCGATATGGCAAAAAGAGTAAAACACTGAGTGTGCAAAATTTTTCTAATTAATCAATCAGGAGATGAAATTATAATTATTCTTAAAGCATTCGCTAAATGATGCTTTCATTTGTTAATAGAAAAAATGATTTTATTCTAACGAAGCAATTTATTTTTGTAGAAGTCATACGTGTATATCTGCGAAGTTTTAAATGGAGGCATTTAAGTCTTTTAGACATTATTACATGTTTATGGGTTCGTAATAAATTGAATGCACAAGTCCAATAATAAGTTAATTAACATTTATTCTTATCAAAAGAAATATATCAGAACGCTGGAATTTTCTTCAGAGATATTTATTCGTGCAAGTGTTCAAAATATCACACAGTATAATCAGTAGTTATACTTCAAACTACTAAAAACATTAATATACAATGCAAAGCAAAGTGTAAAGAAAATCAAAGAGAAAGATAATTCTGATATCTCATTTCACGTGGAAATAACGACTTGCAACAACAATAACTAAGCAACTAACCAAACAACTGAACTGAGATGCTCTCTCAGCTTTTAATAGCTTTCAACCGGTCACAAGATATTTCTAGCAATCTCTGCTTCTTGACATTTCTGGAAAGCAGTAAGTGGATAGAACTATGCTTACAGCTAACATCACTCTGTTAGCTGTAACATATTAACAAGATAACCATTCACTCAGTGTTAAGTACACGTGTCCCTGCCATAGCTTTCTCTTAAAATTTGTCTCTCGCTGCATTGCACGGGAAAATACAACAATTTTAATTCTACTAAAATTATCTAACTAAATACAAAATTCCTAGCAATACTTTATTTCATGTAACATTTTTACTTCCTTTACGAAGTAAAAAGGAAGTATTGTAATCGCGAAAAGGTTTGGGCAGCATATTTCAATGAAAATATCCATTTTGACTGCTATCGAAGAGGCGGATGTTTTTATTTTATTCAGCTTATAATTCCTTACTAAATGTAGTATTTCATCTCGATGTACTCCGTCTTTGATATAATTTAAATCAAATTCCTCGGCATTATAAATATCACGAATACACATCAAATAGTTTTCTGGTTGGAATTGTCTAATTTCGACTATGCTTAATGTATGCTTTACGTATGCGCGCGTTGAAAGAAATGTTTAAGTAAACAAATAATATTAAGTTCTTTTTTGTAAATTTGTGATACCCTTTAGATCATAATTGCTCTTTATTTCGTAAGTTACGGTTTCATATTTTTAATTTTATAATTTCTGCATGCCATCTTATCAGATTTATATTGATGATCTATAATCCGGAATCCCCGAAGTCCCGACGAGTCCGGATTAAAGACTTCTGACTGTATAAATTTCATGAATATTTTTATTTTATTTTAGATTACATTTGTGGGACTCGTGCAGACAGTGGATGTCCAAACTACAAAAGTCACTTACACGATTAGTGATTGTACAGCTCCACCCATTGAAGTTCAAATTTGGACTGGTGAAAATGAAGTATGAGAAAGTCAAATGCTACTTACTCTTTGTTGTTGATTTGAAACATGGTTCAGTTTAATAACTGGATTAGTGTAATATTTATTGGAAATGTTTTAATATTTTTATCACAGTTCCGTATTTTCATTGTTGGTTTTTTAAAATTAAAATTAAAAAAAAATTCTTTTAATGTAGTATAACAAATAATTCTAATAATGTAGTTTTTAGTGGTAATCTTTGATAAAGTATATGTTTATGCTTTGAAATGCATTTTATCATTTGAAAATGAGTAAGTTGTAGCAATTGCAATTTCTGTATTTATAAATGTGTGCTTTCATTCCAGAAATTCTTTATTGTGTTCAGATACCTTTCAAGATTGTGTGGCCATTTCTTTTTTTCCTTTTCATTCCCACCTTTTGTATTGTATAAGGGTTAGGCAGAAATATCTTCAACGTTCTGTTTTCACAATTCGCTGAAAGATATTCCTGCGTTTTATCATACATCATGTAATTCATCCAACTAAAGTAGTAGGAAATGTTTTCGACCCAAATTATTCATGTAGTGTTTTTGGAATGAAAAGGATATATTTTATCCTCTTTCATTTATTTTAGGATATGAGTAAGAAAGCCAGCATCATTCAAGAAAATACTTATGCTCGAGTTACAGGAGCAGTCAGATCTCTGAAGGGAAAGCGTTACGTTGTTGCATTTAATATTGTACCTATCAAGAATGCCAATGAAATAACTATGCATATTGCTGAAGTTATTCATACATCTATATCTGTGGCTGTTATGGATAAGCAGGTTATTTAATGTTTACTTTTTATATTCAAATTTTTATGTGCTTATCTCATTGATCACAGTTTATTTAATGTTTTTGTTTGAAGTAAAAGAAGATCATTTAAAATAAATGGTGTAAAAATAATTTCTGTGCTATAACATCTCTTTTTGTAAAGGTATTTACAAAGGCATTGTAACTTTAGCTACCTTTCAATCTGATAATTTACAAATCCTGAGTAGCTAAAAGTACTTAAGCAGTAGTATTTTGGTTTGTGTTTTCTCCTTTATTTAATTTCTTCAGAACTTATTCCGGAATATTCTTCACAAGACCGTTCTGCTGTTGTGGTCATGAGCTGGAATGTTGCCAGCTCGTGACATAACAGTTAGTATGGAAGAGAAATATGTATTAAAATGTAAAATAAAAACTATCAAATTTGTTGAAAACACAGCTTTAGATTGGTGTAGATTTTAGGAGGAAAGCTAAGATTGAAAATATTAGGAGAAACTGATTTAGAATTAATTTGTGTGTAGTTGAATTTTTGTAAATTTGAGTAAATCTGGTTTTCTCATGTGAAAAATTTTGGTATTTTTAGCGGAACAAAAATTTTAATTAGTACAGTACAAAGTCTGTAATCCGGACATCCATAATCCGGAATGATCTATAACCCGGACCTCAAAACTACAAACATTATGTGCATGCGCATTTAATGTATAATGAACGGTATAAGCTAGGCTAAAATTATCTAAAGCATTTCAGTTAATGTTGCAGATTGTGTCCTTATTTCTAATGGATCGGCTTATTATTTTTTTGCTGCGTAGAAAATTTTATAAAAATTAGCTTAACTTCGATTATGTCAAAAAGAGTTCCATTTGGAGCTGCCAAAGGATCTACAAGTGAAAGCATTTTTCGATGTCCATTAAAAAAGTGGAATTGCTGCAAAAATGGATAAAGGCCTATCTGTCTCAAAATTATGTGAGAAGTATGCATTGGAATCCACTATATATGACGCAAAGAAAAAGAAACTTTTTGAATTTTTTGTGGAGCATCTTGAACACTTACATGAAAGAATGTTAATAAAGTAAACATAAATATTAACTCCCCCCTTTTTTTTTTGTGTGTGTGTGTGGTGTTGTGGTAAATTTTGATATTTTGATCTTCAGATCAAATTTTTCTTATTTCATAATTAAGTTCATATTTTTAAGTATAATTGCTGCATGCCATCTTACCAGATTTAAATTGTATCTATAAACCCTAACCGGAATCACCGAAGTCATGACGATCCGGATTTTACGGACTTTGTACTGTAAAGGCAATGGCAATTTTGCAAAGGCGGCTGTGAACTGAGCTCCCGAATATATACGAGGGCTATCCCAGAAGTAATTACGTTTTGGAATAAAAAAATAACAAAGTATGGAAACATTTATTATATCGATGAAAGCCACACTCAAATACTACTTTCTACATAGTCACCATACAAATTAGGCATTTATCGTAGCGATGTACGAGCTTGGAAATTCCTTCGTCGAAAATTTCGCCGCCTGCGCCTTCAAACCACTGGTTACCTCTTCTTGCCTTCCATCTGCACAAACTTGTGGAACAGCTTTTCGCTGATGATTTCGTGCAACAAACTTCGCTAAATTTGTGGAAAACTCAAAGAAAGTTTCCGTATTTGAAATTTCGATTTTCACGGAATTTAGCTCGACTTTTTGAGAAGTTCGGGCGGTCACTAGGGGGTCTCCCACTTCGATCTTCGTCGTGAACATTGGTTCCCATTTGAAATCTTAGACCAACTGACGCACTCACCTTCAGTGATAATGTTGTCCCCCATACACTTCACGAAGCGCGATAGATTTCTATCGGTTTACGTTTTTTGCAGTCAGAAACCTTATTACTGAGCGCACCTCGCAGCTGCGGGATTTTCAATTAACGCGACATTTCAACCATCACAGTACTGAAAGCACAGCACTACCTCTCACTAGCACGGCTAGATGCAGACTGAGCTGCGCAACGCTCTGACCCCAAGATGGCCGCGCTAGCCCCGCCCCTAGCGGACACAGACGGAAACGTAATCTACTTCCTGGATGGCCCTCGTATATTTAAATAGTTAATCTCTGCATATAGTATAAATAAATGCATTTGAATAAAATTTTCCTATTTTTAAGCAATTATTGACTGAGAGTATGCTACTCCAAAATAATTCCAACCAGTGAAACTGCTATGCTTATGGAAAATGTGACTGGAAAGAATTAATTTGTATCTATTTGAATCTTGCCTATTGTGATTAAACACATAGTGTATCTTGTTCATTTAGGCATGCCAGTGTTCAGAAACTGTACTTTGTTGTGTCGTGTGTGTGTAATATTTAATAATATAGATTTCTTCTAGAACTGCAAAAATATCAGAGTATTTTCTATGATTTTAAGGTATGAAAACTCTGGTCCCTTTAAAATCAAAATATTCTTTGTCTTAATAGAATCTGGCTTAAATAATTTAAAAGTGATATGTAAAAAGGAAGGATTTGCTTGTCATCTTTCAGAATATATCCTTCAGATATGGGACTCAGATTTATGTTGTCTCTATGTGGCCAGGTTATCACACTACTGAGAGCTGGTAGTTTGACTCAGTGAATTTGTTGGTTGCATGGGCATTTTTATAGTTTTCTTTGCATAAGCGTAAGGTCCCATTTATAACATGACTACAGGTTAGTTTTCTGGAGTAAGTCTTCCACAAAAGCTTATCTTATTTAAAGCAAATAGCCATTGCTTGATTTACCGTAACTAATGAATTGAACAGTTAAATTTATATTATCAGAAAAGGAGAATTTTGTTAAATTGTATATTTTAATTAGCATATATAAAGTGAAGTTTTTACATCAGAAATATGTCTTTCAAGACTTTTTAAATTTTTGTAATGTTTGAATTTGTTTTTATTTGACTCTTGTGAAAGAGAGCACAGTGATTTGTGATGTAGCAGAGTTTGATTTAATAGGACTTTTCCCTCCTTTTTTCTGGATGTAATATAAATGTGAAATTAACCATTTCATTCCCTTTTAAAATATTTTCCTTATGAGTGAGGTTTTATAAAAAGATTATGAAGTCAATGAACAAGAGGATTAATATCTCTTCAAAAGGGTCAGCTTTTTAATCACTGCCAATGGACTGAATAATAATACCGAACTTGCTCATTTATTTCTTCTTTGAATTCCCCTTCCCCTCAATTTCTGATTTAGAAACTTCTATTTTGTGATAATAGTATACGATACACGTAAAACAAAAAGTACAAGTAAAATGGTATTAATGATATTAATAATTTTAACAGATATTTTTAAAGTACAGTAATATCAGTGCATTTATTCATATGTGCTTTTTAATATATTATATTCTTCATTTAACACCTTCTGTCAGAAATAGTTTACATTACATAATTTTCTTTCTTTCAATTTTCAAGAAATAAAATTAAAGAGGGAAAAAAGGTTTAAAATACAGAAGTGAATATGAGAATGCAGAGTTAAACCAATATTATCTTAATTTTAAAACCCAATTAATTGAAAAAAGTAATTATTTGTTATACAACATTCTTGAATGTGGATATTTGTTCTGAAAGAATTTTTCAGTAAATTTGAAAGCTGCATTATATTACTGTTTATTGATAATTAATAATCGAATAATAGTAAAATAGGAATACACATGTATCATTCTCTGATGTAATATAAATTTTCTTATGGTTAAATATTAGTATTAATCATTCTCTTTCTTTTCTAAATGACCACTATGTTAATAGAACATTATTGTCATTAACAGTGAACAGCCATTGAAACAAATAATATAACTTGTATTTGATTTCATATGCACTAGTAAGTGATGTATTAGTGAAATGGAAAATAATGAAGTTATAAAACTATAGTCCCAACTTGGAAAGCCATGAAATTTTACCAATATGGATCATTAATATTCCAATGTATGATTAACATGTTGAGCGCCATGTCAGCCATCTATGGCTGACACTAGACTTTCCGTTTAGGCCGTGTCAGCCATCTGTGGCTAACACTAGACTTTTCGTGTAGGCCGTCATTCTCCAACAATCTCCTCCTCCTCCTCTTCAGAAGATAATAAAAATACATCCACTCTGGGTCATTTTCTAGCAAAAATAATTTCACTGCTGCTATCGCTTTCACACTCTCAGACTGACATTTTGATGATCAGGGCTAAAGAAAATTTTTGTCTGCACGGGGCCAAGAACTGCAATGAACTGGTTTGTTGTAAAATTAACACGGGCCACAAATCCATTTCGATAAAATCTTATTTAGTTGGCCAAACGGTAAAGAAAACAAAATAGACTTGGTGCGTAATGTGTTGATTGAATGCCTATAGGAATCACGTTCCAAACGTAAATTATATTTTACTGCGATAAGAATCACTGACCCTACAATACCAGAGCTTTTAAGCGGCGTGCGTATCCTGAACGGGATTGCCTATGAAATACATGTGGCGCTCAACATGTTAAAAGAAACTGCCAAGCCTTTTTAGAATTTGAAGCTACAGTCTTTTGATTGGCTTCAGAAAGTTCTACCAATTCTTGTACCACCCAAAGATGTTTTCAGTTAGATTCCATAGGGAAATTGCAGGACATCACTGATCATTACACAGAATGGGCATTGATTATAGTAGTGATAACACTTTGCTAGTGAAAAGTAGACAATAGAAGCTTATCTTGTCGGATGCTGAATCATGTTACTTGTTGTGGAGATCAGATAAACATATGTGTATGTAGCAGGTTTCTGGAAAAGAAAAAGATGTTATTTGCTGAAATGTATTGTCATCATTGGAAAATTTATCTGAGGAGTCCTATTTTACTTTTTCTGGTTTCAGTCCATTAGTTTTTGTACCTTAGCTCTGAATGCTAAAGCTTAAGAAACAGTATTGGACAATCTTATTCTCCTTGTTTACTGTCTAGAGCTGGCCCATTTCAGCATGATAATGCACCTGTTCATGGAACAGAGATAATTTCTGAGTGGTTTGAGGGA